ATTCGAGATTGGCGGTGACCAGGGTGCGAACATGACGAAGTGGAAAGAGATAGAAAAAAATGTCGGCACCATCCTGGTGCCGACGACCGCGTCGCCCGCGGACGAGGACGGGGACGAGGACGCGGACGACGCCGCGCCGCCGGTCGCGCCGCAGTCGCCGCCCCGCGCGGCCGCCGCGCCGCCCGCGTCGCCGCCGCCCGCGCCGACGACGCCGCCCGCGTCGCCGCCGCCCGCGCCGACGCCGCTCGCGACGCGGGCCTCGCCGCGCCGAGCGGCCGCGCCGCCGCCCGCGTCGCGGCCGGCGGCGCCGGCCCCGCCGCGGGCCACGCGGTCCGCGACGCGGGCCGCGGCGCCCCCCGCTGCCGCCGCGCGGCGTGCGCCGCGCCGCGCCGCCGAGGCCGGGAAGGCGCCGCGGGCGTCCGCCGCTCGCTCGCGACGGCGCGCGCGGTCCCCGTCGCGCGGCGCGTCGGCGTCGCGGCCGTCCAAGTACACGAAGATCTCGTGCATGCACGCCACGCCGTCGGCGAAGCGCGCCGCCAAGGAGGCGCGCGGCTCGGCCTCGCGCGACGACGGCGCCGCGGTCTGCGAGTGCATCACGGCCGTCGAGTGGAACGCGCACGTCGACGCGATCCTCTGCGGCCGCGCGGCGCCGCGGACGGGCAACGGCAGCTCGAGCCGCGGCCCCATGGGCCCGCCGCTCGAGGTGAGCGAGACGCCGCTCCTGCGCGCGCCGGGCGAGTCCGACGACGACGCGCGCGCTCGGTTCCGCCGCGTGAAGTGCGTCGGCGTCGAGTGCGACGGCGACTGCCTCAACCGGAACCTGCAGATCGAGTGCAACCCCGCGACCTGCCCCATGGGCGACAAGTGCGAGAACCAGTGCTTCGCGGGCAAGCTCGGCCGCAAGGTCTCCGTCGCGAAGGCGGGCCAGTGCGGCCGGGGCCTCTTCGCCGGCGAGCCCCTGCGTGGAAATCAAATCTTCAACCCGACTTCAATGTGCGCGTAATTGCACGGTTCGGACCAGATTCTTCGGCCGTGCTTCGAGAACTCGACGAGAGCAATCGATTCGTCCAAAAATCAGCCAAATCGACTTCGATTTGACCGAGCTAGAGAATTTCAAAGTTTGGTCGGGACGTCCCAAACCAGTGGTTGATTTCCACACAGGCGAGCCCATCCCGGAGCGCGCGTTCGTCGTCGAGGCGCTCGGCGAGCTCATCACCGAGGAGGAGGCCTCGGAGCGCCTCGCGACGGCGCGCGCCAACGGCGACGAGCACTACTACATGCTCGCGGCGTCGGACGCGGCGACCAAGGGCCTCGTCATCGACGCGACGCGCATGGGGAACTCGTGGCGCTACGCGAACCACAGCTGCGACCCGAATTGCCGCCTCGAGAAGTGGCGCTGCGGGAGCTCGGACCGCTACGGCATCTTCGCCCTGCGGTCCGTCAAGCCGGGCGAGCAACTCACGTACGACTACCACTGGACGAGCTTCGATCGGTGCTGCTGCGGCGCGGCCAACTGCGTCGGCGTCATGAACAGCGTCAAGAAGAACCGCCTCGGCGCCGCGGCGCGCGCCGCGGCCGCGCCGGCGTCGCCCAAGCCCGCGGCGGACCGCGGTCGGAGCCGCCCCAAGCCCGCGTCGTCCAAGCCCGCGGCGGACGACCGCGGCCGGGGCCGCGCCACCGGGAGCAGTAGCCGCGGCCGCCGGACCGCATCCCGGGCCGCGACGGCCACGGCGCGGCGCTGCCCCGGGCCGGGGACCGGCCCTCGTCGACGGTCCTCGTCGACGCCGCCCACCTCGTCGTCGACGGGCCGCAGCCGACGCGCG